TCTTAGAGCCTGTTGAGTACAATTCCTTAATTTTATAGATGGAGAAACTGAGGTCCAGAGAGGTCCCAAAGGTGGTTAGTATGGATACAGGTCCATTATGTATGGATCTGAGTCTTCGGAATCCAGGGCTATTATATTCTCCACTGTACTACAACTTCTACTATTGAAACTCTAAACATATAGACAACTGAAAGAGTAATTTTTATTGGCAAAGACAACCTAGTTTAATTTAAAAAAGGGGTGGGGCACAGAAGCTTAAACAGAAGAATACCTGCAACAAACCAAAAGTAGAGATTCATAGAATGTTAGAGCTGAAAAAAAAATGGTATCCTAACTTTGCAGATAAAGTTATAGAGGTCAAAATATGTAAAGTAAATTATTCAAGATTGTACAGCATGGATACAGAGCAAGCACAATGACCATTATCTCCTAGAAGGTCAGAATAGAACAATGATACATTTTGTACATACAACATACATGCACATACAGTAATGACTTTTTAGTTAAAGTTAGCATTAAATAAGCTAGATGTACATCACTGGATACCATTTATTGGCAAACAACAAATTATTGTTAATAACAACAATAAGACCATCTACATAGTGCTAACTATATGCCAGCTACTGTGCGAAGTGCTTTACAAATATTATCTTATTTGATCCTTACAACAATCCTGGGGTGTAGGTGCTATTATTTTTATTTCAATTTTACAGTTGAGGAAACTGAGGCAAATAGAGGTTAAGTGACTTGCCTATGGTCACTCAGCTGGTAGGTATCTGAGGCTATACTTGAACTCAGATCTTCCTGACTCTAGACCCAGTGTCCTATTCTACAGCCCACCTTGCTGCCAAGGAAATGAGTTCCATTGATACTATTTAGAAAAGTAGATCTGTGATGTATCTTTCCACACCTCCCATTATCACTTATTTCTCCTCTTCTGGTACTTTATTCTACCTTCTTCTTATTTATTAATTTTTAATTTGTTTTCCATTTCTCACAGATTGCTAGAGGCTACATGGTAAAGTGAAAAGAGCTAAGATTTGGAGTTAACTCATAGCAACCAACTTTTTCCTAGCAGAAATCTGGGCCCCAAGGGAAGGGAATCAGTTCTTTATAAAATTGGTTCTAGTGCAACTGCTGTCACTAACAAGCTATGGATTTTGGTAAATCAATTAATTTCTCTCAGCCTCAGTTTCCTCATCTACAAAATGGGGTTAAAAAACTCTTGTTGGCCTATGTCATATGAGATGATGTGCATTAAAGAGGTTGTAAACTACAGAGCCCTCAATATCTACAACTGCCATTGTCTCCAGAAGTCAGTTGTTGGAGGATCAATGAAGTGACTTGAAGGCTTCCAAAATTTCCCCACAGTTTCCAGTTTTTCTCCTATTGCTTTGACACAGGACCTGAAATTCTTCCTTTTCTCACCTTTTCTTAAAGTCTTGTTGAAGAAATTTTATTTTATAGGAGATTAAGGTATTTAGGGATAGAGTAGCAAAAATACATGTTAGTTAAAATGTTAACACTGGTCTATTTTAGAGTTTAGATTAGTTTATTTGACTTCAATCCTTTGTAATCACTGTCATCTAGCCCTGACAGAATCGAGCATGGGTCAGAGAAGTTTATTAAATGGGATATGACTGATAAGGCAAGAATAGAAGTTGCGAGGAGAGTAGAGCATTGGTGGGCTGGCAGGTGGAGGCGGTTGGAAACATAAGAGCATTACAAATTGTGGTTAAATTAAAAGTTTTTCCCAGGGCTGGCTCTGACTTTATGTAAGGTTAAGGGGAGTAAGATTCTCAATCTATTTAATTATGCTGCATCAATAGTGATCGCTTGCTTACTACATGAAAACCGGTACCTTTGAATCAAGATTTGGGACCCTACTGATTAACTCTCAATCATATAGACAAACTCTTAGCTCAAATATATTGACCACTCTAGAATTAATAAATTGTTTTTCACCTGTTGCCTCCGATGTTGCCTTCTCATAGGGAAAATGATGCTCAGAGGTTAAGTGACTGCTCCAAGGTATCAGAGTCAGTCAGGCAGATCTAGGACTTGAACTCAGGTCCTCTCCTCTGACTCTAAAACCAGACCTAATATTACTTCATATATGGAAAGTATTCAAGGAAATGGAAAGAAGAAAAAAAAATTACAGAGGCTTCTACGTCAAATAATATGTTAGGTTGCAAAATTTTTTCATTTTTAGAATTTCACCTGAAAAGGCTATATTTTAGTGCTGGAAGGTTGGGGGAACTGTAACCACAGTTTTTCAGAAATGAGTTTAGAATATTTGTCCTAGGCTTTGCCCTATTATACTATGCCATGGTTCTCATCTGCCATCTGCAGTAGGCTTTACTCTGCTGGACCCTCTTCAAATGAGATTCCACTTCACATGTTTTCTAATTCAAAACTAATTTCACTGAGAGCTAATCTGACCATAAATGTGGTGTGTATTTTATTCCATTGTGGTTTCAATTTGCATAATTCAAAAGAAGATGAATTTTTCCTCCCCTTTGGCCACAAATTAACCTCTCAGAGTGCAACGGGCATGATTTCCCAATTAAAAAGAGAGCCACTGAAGGGGGCAACAATAACAACATGAATGAGGAATAACCACATTTGCAGGGAAGCAGCCAGGCAAGGGGAATGGGGGTGGAACAAGAGGAGGATTTGTTTATACATGAAAGATCCACTCTACTGTTTGTGTCACAGACACTTTAGGTGACCCACCCTTCCCCTTCAAATGGGATGTGCATCACCACAGTTCCTATGAAATGAGCAAATGTTTCTCTGTGTTAGCATAATAAGGCAGGCAGTCTAGCCAAAATAGTAGGAAGTAGGATGGAACAGGTGCAGGCTTGGGGGCCACCATTAGCCAGTATACTTAGGCAGTATGGAGTAGTGCATATTACTAGTGTTTTTGCTTTGTTCCAGCTTCCATAATTCTCTCTTTTAAGACTGCAAGGGGAAAGAAAGAAGAAATAAGGTAGGAACTTCAGCTCAGGGACAGCAAGATTACAGTGTTCAGGACCCATAGGTACTTTCCTGTTCTAAGGTATCATTGAGCTCTGCTTTCATGCTGCCTATCTGGTTAAGGTCCTAGTGAGGTCTGTCTCATATATGTCTTCTTTACCACAACCGGTATATCAGAAGTAACATTGGAAAGTGGGTTGAACGTCCTAGCACATTGCCTACAAATGGCAAACTGACTTGAGCTTAGCTTTGCTGGGTGTCTGAGCTGATACTCTTGAGACCATTTCCTCAACCTTATACATTTCTGTGCAAAAGTTAGGGACCCTATTACTCTCAGAACTTTCACAGAAACTCATCTTAAACTTAACTCTGCAGTGACTGAGTAGCCATCATCACAGATTTTAGAGTTGGAAGGGACCTTCATGCCCATATAATTCAACTTGCATCCCTGAAAGAATCTTCACTATAAGAGACTTAATAGAGAGTTGACCAGATTGCTTGACTTTCTATAATAAGGCAGAGGCCTGCACTTGCTGAGTTCTCACATTGCACTTTGGGATAGCTCTGCTCATTAGTAAGTTTGTCTTGAACATCACGACTAGTTTGTTTTTTTCATCTTCCACCCATTTTTTCTACTTCTGCCCTCTAAAACCATGCAAAATCAGTCTAATCCTTCTTCCATATGATAGCTCTTCAAATATTTTAGGACATTCATCATGATTCTCTGAGTTTTTTCTTCCTACCTTAAATATTCTCAGTCTTTTTTAGTGGATCTTCATGTAGCATTAGCTCGCATCCTTCACCTGGTTGAACTTCTCTGAACTTTTCCTGCCATACCCTTCTTATACTGGGATACAGGTTAGCAAAAGACCAGAGCTGGATTTTATTTTGTACTGTACCAACTTTTTGTAGCACTATTATGATTTTGCCCATTGCTGTTTTTAATAATATACTTTTAATAACATACTTGTTTTGAGAGTTTTGGACTCATATTATCTTGAGATGACAGAATTTAAGATTCATAATTTTTTTTAATGAAATGACTTGTAAGAAATCTAAGGCAGTCCAGATCTATAACACGAAGTATAGAAGAGAGTTGGCAGTTAGCCAGTTCGTTTTGATTAATGCTTATAGTCAATATAGATTATCCAGGCCTCAGGGTTTATATTTTATCTTAAGTGACCTAGTTTCTCTGCCTACATGGACTAAATTCACTGGATAACTACCACTTACTTTGCACAGTGTGGAAGCTGCCTATGAATATTCTTAGATGTTATACATAGTGGGAAACATCCACTTGGGCTTTGGTGATGAGGGTAAGTATTGAATGCTCAATTTCAGATGAAGGGTTTGAATTTTTGCTCTTGTTTGATGGATCTTTTGAAGCTTACAGTATGTCAGGACAACATCAAACACTGTGTCATCACCAAATTTGAAATGAATTTTTAATGATCATTAATGCTGTGTATGCCTTAATAATCCTTTCTTATCCTGACTTGTTATTCCAGATTGAGTAGAGGAGCTGGGACAATTTCTGTAATGCTGATGAAAATGTGTAACATTTTGAATTGCAAGTATGATTTACTTTGTTTATGGAACAAGTATAAACTAGACATGAAGTATATTGCTGTTTATGACATGGAGAGTAATGAGAGACTCCAAATTAATTAACTGTAAGATGTGAATAGTGGAGTTAAAATTCATTTTAAATGAAGCACATTTAAAAAGCTAAGAAGAGAGCAATTCTCAAGTGTATCCTTGGAGGATGATATTCTGTGCCCAGGGTGACTTTTTTATTCCTGTCATTTAAATTGCAGCATTTCACCACACCTATATTACTACAATCTATTGATGGAAATATGATTTGTAACTCACTTTGACATGCAGGAGATTCTGTTTCAGAGTTGTAGAAATGACCTATAATGTGATGGATGCTCTTCCTTGTCATATCTCTGGAAAGTATTCAGTTTGGACTCATAATTTACTTGTGAAATCAGTCACACTGGCCTGTGTAATTTCAGAGTCTCCATGTAGAAACAGCCAAGAAGCTGCACTCACAGCAACCAACTGCCGCTTCAAAATTACCAGTTAGTTGTCAAATTGATTTGACCCATTCGGAGACAGAGCAGGATGTGATCAGGACAACTGCATTAGCAGAAACCAGCATGATGAGAGGTCAGTTAAGCAATATGATTTCATTTGTTAATATGCCACAGTCTAACCCTGAACTTGACAAATGCTCAATTTGCAGGCATTTTGTTCCCCCCATTACTTCAACTAGAATGGGAACCTCAGGCAAAGAGAACTTCACTGTCCTAAATGTCCTGTAGAAATGTCAGTTCTGATAAAAGGTGAGTGTGTCCGAGGATTCAATGGCAATGTTAAGCTGTGCTCACATAAGTGACATGCATATTCACTATTTTCCAGGAACAGACACATAGAGAAGGGCAAACTTTATTTATGCTTGCTTCACCTATGGTCATCCTGGACAAGGAAAATGTTTCTATTTGAGATTGCTGATTCAGCTATGGTAGTAAAGTTTTAGTATTTTTATTTAAAATGTCACAAGAATGATTAATGGGTTGGAAAAAGGTGTCTTATGAGAAAAGGTTCTTTTTTTTTTAAGTTAAAGGAGGAAGTGAAGGATTCTGATGACAGCCTTTAAGTGTATGCTCAGTAATTGTCCAAAGGATGATAATCAGGGGCTCGCCGTCTGAGGGTAGAATAAGAGAAAACAGGCTCACAAAAAAAAAGAAGAAGAAGAAGAGAGGCTCTAGGTTAGCTATAAAGGAGCTTTGAGTGTTCAAGCCTAAAATGAAGGACCAAAAAAATGTTTTTTCCTGGAAGTTCCTCTTGTCCTCTTCACAACGAATGGCAGCCCTGGCTCTCCATAGGCGGAATAAAAGCCTGAAGCTTTTACCTCATTAATGCTGTATACTCCCATACAGAATTCCAAGAAAAACTAAAAACAACAAATTGATCTTTATTTTTTCCCAAGCATACAATTTGCTCCTTCTCTCTTGGTTTTCTATTTATTACATATTCCTGTCCCCACTTCCTCAGTTTTGTATCATTACATTTCCCTTCCTCCTTCCCACAAGGACATGTCAAAGTCAATGCACTGGATATTATGCTCCTGAACCATTCCTGTACCAAAACCAGTCTGTATAAATTAGGTTCTTTTATGTAGTGAGCTTACTGACTTCTGACGCTAACATAAAAATATCCCGGAGAGATTTCCTTATTACCTTATCATTGGATCTCTATGACTGACAAAAATGAAATTCTGTAAGACTTTGAAAACCAAACAGATTGCATTTCCTCCAAATTCCAAATACTAATCAAGTGTGAATTTAAAAGAAACAGCTACAGCTAGAAATTGATGTTGCATGTTGAGTTCCTAGAGCTTAATTTATGCATTGGCAATATCTTTTTTCTTAAAAGTATTGATCCTGAAAGGTGCCAGATACACACACAGCTCCCAAGATCAAAGTTCTGTATTTCAGTAATAACAAACTGTATAGTCCAAGGGTGAGGAACCTTCGGCCTCAAGGCCACACATGGCCTCGAGGTATAGGCTATTCACTGTCTGTTTTATGGGTTTACCAAAGGAGACTCTGGGTCTGCAAGAGACTGCTCTCACCGAATCCCTCCAATTGTGTATGCCAGGAGGGTTAGTATAGATCCAGAAACACACCCAGTTCATTTCTGTGTGAAACACAACAATTTAACTACAACAGAATAAGACAAGAGGGAATTCTCTTAACTTTAGTCAAGAAATTAAAGGGAAGATTTTTGTTGTTGTTCAGTCATTTCAGTCATGTTTGACTCTTTGTGACCTGATTTGGGGTTTTCTTGGCAAAGATACTGGAGTGATTTAACATTTCCTTTTCCAGCTCATTTTACAGATGAAGAAACTTAGAACAATAGAGTTAAGTGACTTGCCCAAGGTCACACAGCTAGTAAATGTCTGAAGCCAGATCTGAACTAAGGAAGATAGAGTTTTCCTGACTCCAGGCCTAGCTCCCTAGATACTTTTTTCCCAATTGTAAAATACCAAAGGTGTAACTCTGGGCTGTACTTTCATGTACTTCTACTAACAATAAGATCTAACATCTTTATTTTGCCTTACGCTTTATGAGGGACTCTTCTTGCCTCTTTGTGAGGCAGGTGATACGTTATCATCTTCATTTTACAAATATAGAAATGAGAGCTCAAAGGAATTAAGTCATTTGTCCAAGGTCACAGATCATATAACTGATGGAGCCAGGATTCAAAACTAAGATTTGATTCTAAGGTTAATACTTTTTCCATTGTATCACCCTATGCCAGTTCTTGTGACTCTTATTCTTTTTATGGTTATGTTTGAGAAGCATTATAGCCTTCTGAAATTACCAATATTAGCTAATGTAATAATAATAACACACTATCCACATTCTCCAGCCCTTCCCTTATAAAGTCAAAATGAAACCTTAGTGATATGCTCCCCATATCATTAGAGTAAAGCTATGCTTATCCAATACCCATTAACCAGTAATTCAGTGATAAATGATTTATCTAATCAATTATCTCACATAATGGAAAAAAGAAAGTATTATATTATAATTTTCTCATTTTAACTGGTTCACAGAATTTCAGAGGGAATGGGGATCTCAGAGGCCATCTAGTCTAACCTCTAATTAAATATAAATCATTTTTACTATATTTCTGACAAATGGTCTTTAAACTATCACTTTAAGGCCTCCAATGATAGAAATCCACTATCTCCTATTTTAGACAGTTTTGTATTTTTTTTAAATTTTCCTTATATTGAACCAAAATCTACTTTGCTGCAAATTTTCCTAGTTCTACCCTCTGAGACCAATCAAAATAGTCCAATTCTTCTTCCACATGACAGCTCTTCAAATACTTGAACACACCCATCAGGTTCACACTGGGTCTTCTTCTCCAGGATAAACATTCTTGGATTTTTTAACCTATCTCTTATGGAATAGATTTTGATCCTCTTCAAATCTTGGTCACCCTCCTTTGGACTTGCTCCAGTTTCAGTGTCTTTCCTAAAAAGTACTTCTCAGAATTAGATAAAATACTCCAGAAGTGGTATGGTCAGGAAAATGTATAGAGACATTACTCTTTTATACTATTATAATGCCTCTTTTTGGCTTCCATGTCACACTACTGCTTGATAACAGACTTTGAAGTTTGTTAAAAGCCCTAGTTTTGTTTTTTATTCTTATTACTATAGTTTTATGTTAGCTCCTCTATCTAATACTTGGATAGCTGATTTTTTTTAACCTAAGTGTATTTAGATTTTTTCCTATTAAATTTTATCTTCTCTACTAAAATCCTACTTGGGTGCCTCATTGTAATTTGAAGATGGTCATAGGTTCTTAAAGCCTATGCCAGCTATGCACAAGGTCTGACAAGTCCTACCAAACTGGGGGGAAAAAAAACAACTTACAATATTGGCATTGTATCACTTGGCCAAGGATCAACCTAGCTAATTTCAGAAAGGCTCATCCCTAGTTTGATCATAGGATAATAAATTTTTTTGCCACAGAAACTCTCCAAACTCACATATTAAATTACAGAAAAATTGTAATCTGTGTGGAAGGATACTATACTGACAAAGTTTCAGGTCCTTGACATATTAAAATAAATTACATCTTATTAAATTTTGAGCTCTTTCTATATAATCATTTTGGTTTCTAATATATTAACTATCCCTCCCATATTCCCAATATTGGTTAAAATTAACAACTCAAGGTGGGGGAAAGATTCCTTGGACATTCCATTAGAGATCTTCCCCCAAACTAAAATCTATCAGTGTTCATTGGGTCTAGATACTTGTGACATATAAAAAAACTTGATAGACATAGTTTCTGGGTAATTAATCATTTTATTAATTATGTTAGTGAGTAATAAATAAAAGGATTCAGTGGCACTCTTGGCCAAAGACCTCTCATGGAACTCACCCAATGCTTATGCATCCTTGGAAGAGTGGGCATCCCTGGGGTTGGCAATCAATTCTTATTGATTAATAATTAATGAGAAGAATACATATTATAATGAGGGGAGGATCTAAGGAGGATCTGGGGGATTTGGCTTTGATCACTCTTGCTGCCAGACCCACCCCCAGCCTTGGGCAGTCTAGACCCCACCCAAGCCTGAGTAGAACACAATGGGCTTCCTCACTTGGATAGGGTCTGAATAAGATTAAGGAGAAAATTAATCCAATCTCATTATCAGCAATGTCCTTCAGATGCTGGCTTGACTGAGTAGAGAATGAGGCTATAGGAAGGGAAAAAACCCTGCATCTCCCCAATAATTTGTTATTTGATATTTATTTCTCTCACATTCAAATAGTTCTGAGCCCAACTAAGCATATTGTTATTGAACCCACATTTCTCTATTGTATTCCTAAAGACAGTGTGAAAGACTTTGCCAAATGGCTTTGTGAAATCCAAGCATATCATGTCTATGACAGTACTTTAATCTACCAATTTATTAATTCAATTCAATGGGCATTTATTAAATATCTACTGTGTTATAGGCACTATGCTAGGTATTATAGACACAAAGACAAAATTAAAACATTCCTGACTTCAAGGAGCTCATATTTTATTGTCATAGATGAAAAGAGTTTAGCGAAGCATGATTATGACCTGTTCTTGATGAGGTTAGGCTGAAACTGAATGATCACTACTTCTCTTTATAAATTCTCACAAACCATCCCTTTAATGATACATTCTAGAATTTTAACACCATAAGACCATAAATTTAGAGCTAGAAGGGATCTTAGAGACTATTGAGGACAACCTCCACATTTTACAGATAAGGAAACTGATGTACATAAAGTTTAATTGACTTGTCTAGAGTTACATTATTAGTATCTGAGGTAGGATTTGCATTTATCTTCTTGATCAAAATCCTATACCTTATGTACTACACAGTGCTGCAGCCCAAAGCAAGTCCCGGGTCTAAATAAAGCTTAAAAACCTGTACTTTGAAGAATCCAATATTGTTGTTTTCTTTTTTCAGTTGTGGCTGACTCTTTGTGACCCCATTTGGGATTATCTTGGCTAAGATACTGGAGTTGTTTGTCATTATTTTTCTCCAGCTCATTTTACAGATGAGGAAACTGAGACAAACACGGTTAAGTGATTTGCCCAGGGTCACACAGCTAGTAAGTGTTTGAGGCTGGATTTGAACTCAGCTCTTTCTGATTCCAAGACCAGTGCTCCATCTACTGTGGCACCTAGCTGCCCATAAAGAAAAAAAAAAGAAAATCAGAACATTTACCTGTCATCTGTTCTTCATGTTATTTTGCTGTCATCTCAACTGGCAGGAA